TTTCTCCAATTGTTCCTACAGTTCATAGGTACAGCTATCGTTGGTCTCAGGTTGAAAGATAATGGCGAGAGTGGTCGAACTGCTTGTATAGAGGTGATGAATTCTCCGTTTCATTGAAATGATTCTGTTTTCAGATGATTAAGGAATATCCCATAGAGATGGATACCTTACATGGAGTCAACTTCATGTTCACCAATAACATAGAATTTACAATAGCCATGGTTTTTATATGCATATATATTGTCTTCTATTTATCTGTCGCAAGTATCTGTGGAGTAGTCTTGTACATGAGCATCAGGGATCAGGGAAAGTCGACGCAGTCTGCTCAGTTCCTAGCCAATCAGCGTAGAATTACTGTGGGTATCATTTACTACGTAAGGGGAAAGGGCTGTGAAAATCTAAAGTTCTTGTTCAGGGAGCTATAGAGTTAGCCGTTGTGAGCGTTCCTATTATGATTCTCGCTATTTGTACAACTCTTCATGTCGCAAACTACAGTACGGTTCCACAGTCATCCTGATACAATTCCTGTTTTCAGTCGTCTCTCATTTTTTCTTAATTTTACTATGCATTTATCCAATTGCTGGTCCTTACTATATACTGATGTCTAATCCAGACTACAACAAGAGGGTGAACCGGATAAAAGAAAACGTCCGCTCTAAACTCTGTTGCTCCCGTTCCAGTTGTCTACCGGCTGTACAGAGTTTCTTCATGTGTTTTTTTCAGATTGCAAGGTGACTTCAGTTTCTAGTACTGTGATTGGAAGTACAACTTCGTAGTCACAGTATGATCTGAGCAAGGTAAGGAATCCTGCTTCCCAAATGGAGAGAAAATGAGCTCTGGACCAGTCTTCCTATCTGATATAATTCAACGTCATACGCTTCATTAAATATTGTGAATTAAGAAGGTGATTGAAACTATAAAGATCTTTTCCTTTCATCTGTTGTTGCTCTCTCATGAACGGAACTTACGTCTCAAAGTCTTCTTACAACTCCGGGCATGACCAAGAGACAAGCTAATCACATAAGTATAGCCTAAGAAGCTGAGAACCTCTTTACTACGAATCACCATGAAGAGAAGTAATGCATGACTTTTGAGCAGATTGTAATATTCAGGATGCAAGCCTACTGAACGGCAGGGGTTGGAATGCAACCCTTCGGTGCGTTTCAGATAAGACCCGAACTTATCCAGGTCTCATCCCTAGCATGCGAGCCCATGAGCTTTTCCCTCTCTAGAGAACCTCCGGAGAGAGAGGAGTGGGGCTCACCGGCTCTCACCGTCAACTGACGGGATTCAGGAACTTCACGGCTCATACACCCCCGCGGAAACGCGTCAAGTGGGAATAATTTTTACGGGAAAAATAAAATGACCCGGTCGCTCTCTTTCGTAAGAACGATGTAATTTCGCTCAAACTTGATGAAATCAGATGTTTCTTGGGTTGTTTCATATCAAAATTCTTTTTCGAATTCAATTATATAGTTCATTTTCTGTGTGAAGCAACCCTTTGTTGTGTTACTCTGCATATTCTATCATACATTCACCTTGATCGAAAGTCACTCTCCCAGCAATCTTTTCCTAACTTGGATACTTTCTTTTCATGATTTAAGGATTGATCCTTTCGTTGTAATGGACTGTTGTAGTCTGAGCTCATTCCCTCTCCTCCTCAGTTAATATCGATTTCTCCTACTTTGCTCCTACTCTCATCAACTTACAGATTATCGATTGATTTCCTGTCAGTCCATAAGTCAGGAGTTCTATTGAGTTTTGGCTGTTATCATGTATGCTTTTGATATATTCGTTTCTTCTTCAATTATATATGGTTATTCATTCTCTGTTCTCTATGTTGTTAACATCCAGCCAAGACTGTTTCTATGACTGCTGATGAGCCTTTCTTTCTGATGATTGAGAGGGAGAGTATTCTCTTCAAGTTGTCTTGTACCCGATCTCTCTCGTCATC